CTTATAAATAATTGGACTACTCTTCATATTATGAATTGATTTTATGATGGAAATCTCAACTTTCTTCGCATGACTTTGTCTTGCTAAATTATGAATTTACGCTCCTATTGTGTTGTCAATATACACAGTCTAGTAACATGGTATTGACAAGAGATATAAAGATATCATCAACATCCACTGACGCATGTATAAATTGTCATTAATTATTGATGTGTTATGAGACTCATTTACGGAAAATTTTTAGGTGTTCCGGGTACACCAAAAAATTTTGGTGTACCCACACTCATTAAAATTTGATTTTATTATTTTATTGAAAAAAAAGTAAGGGTAGGGTCCACCATTATGAGTGAGGGTACACCAAAATTTTTTGGTGTACCCGGAACACCCAAAAATTTCTCCTCATTTACGTCACATACTGACAACCACTTGTGCGGATACATAAACACGTTATGGTCAAAGCTAGCAAGACGAACCAGGATCCTCGCCGGATCCATTCCTTAAGGATCCTAGAGATCACGTAATCGTGTCTGTTTATCATATATTGTACAGTCATAAATCATTTAAAATAAATTGGGTTTTTTTTTTTCATTGAAGAAGATTCAATTCAATAAAATTCCGGCCTTAGATTACATAGGGGTGTGCTATCCATACATTTCATTTTACTTCTCACATACCCTTTGTTAATTTATGTCCGTTGATCTTTTTCAATTCATTCGATCCGACGGCCGAAAATTAGAAGGGTGTGTGCGAAGTAAAAAAGGGTGTGTGGATATCACATCCTATTACATATTGATTTTAGTCATTTAATGTGTACCTAATTCAAATTTATATTATATTTTTGTTTTAATATCCAATGGATATCTTATTTAATGTCTCCATATTAAATTAAAATTTTTTTTTTGGTACATCCATATTTTTACACTAAGGGGAGGGGGAGTTCGGCTAAACCACACAATAGGTAGCCTAATTTGGTATCAAATTTGTCATCCACTAGATTTGAACTTAAGACCTCTCACTTCCGAGTGAAGAGGAATACTATCATATTGTAGTACTGAGTGACTTTAAATTTATTATTATACATATTTTAATTTATTAATTTTGTTTAACTTCATCTAATTACTGTAATTAGAGAAAGTTATTAAATAATAAATTAAAATGTGTATCTAAACTATCTATTAATAAAATCCTATTCGTCAACTAAAATATTATGAAAAGACTATTTAGTATCACAAAAAAAAGGGCAATAATGTAATTTCATAAGACCTAATTTTACTATTTTTTATTAAAATCTCACCTATAGATAATGTTAAAATATCTTCAATATTTAAAATGAAAAAATAAAAAAAAAATTCCCACTCCCACTCACATTCTATTTCTCTCCCTCTCTCCTTCCTATTTTTCTAAAAAAAACGTGTTCTTAACTTCTTACACATAAAATGTATAGGCAAATGCTAGTAATAATAATAATTATTCTTCACCAAAAAGAAAATAATAACACTAATTGTTTAAAATGTGTCTATAATTACTTCCTCTAATTACTGTAATTACCAATTATTACCATATACATTTAAGTAGAATTGGTCTATTACTCGTAAATTATTATTATCATAAAAGGAAAAGAAGTTTAAAGGTTTTCTAGTTTTGGAAGGTGAAAGGCGCAAGCTACAGGGCAACAACAGCGGAGGTGGTAGTAAAATATGGAGGGAAAAGGGGGGATGCAATTTCCTGTTATCTTCCGATTAAGTCAAACTCCTCCTCCACCAACTACCCAACCACCCTCTCCTCCTTTCTCAACTAACTTCCTCTCTCCTCCTTCTCTCTCCCCATTCTCTCTCATCACCCCACTATGGCGGAAATCAGCACCCTCAGCTCCGATGTGACGGAGCTCATCCTCTCCTACCTCCCCATCCCCACCCTCATCCGCGCCTCCGCCGTCTGCAAACACTGGCACTCCCTCATCTCCTCCTCCACCTTCTCCTCCCCACTCTCCCATAAATACCCCTGGTTCTTCCTCTTCGGCATCCACAACACCTCCTCCAACTTCAACCAGTGCTTCGCCTTCGACCCCCTCTCCAACCTCTGGTTCCGCCTCCCCTCCCCCACCTTCCCCTCCCAGTCCTCCTCCTTCCTCGGCGCCGACGGCTTCTTCCTCGTCACCGCCCCCTTCTTCACTTTCTCCCATATCCTCAAACGCCAATGGCTCTCCACCTCCCCTCTCCGATTTTCCCGCGTCAACCCCCTCGTCGGCGTCGATTCTCCCCCCTCTTCGTCTTCCTCCGCCTCCTCCTCCCCAATCCCTAGCTTTGTCGTCGTCGGCGGGGTCCGATTCATCGGCAATTTGGTCGACATCGAGGATCGTTTGGCCGTGGAGATTTACAATCCCGATTCCGATTCATGGCTCCTCTGCCCGCCGCTCCCCGCAGATTTCCGCTCAGGAAACTCGTCAGAATCTCTCTCCTCCGCTCTCTTCAAGCGCCGATTCTACGTCTTCGGAATCTACTCCTGCTTTATTGCCTCGTTTGATCTCCGCACCCACGCCTGGAGCGAAGTCCAGACCCTCCGCCCGCCCGGGGTCGTATTCTCCTTCCTGATTTCCTCCACCAACCACCTCGTCCTCGCCGGAATCTGCAACGGCCCTCTCGGTCCGTCATTCAACCTGTGGAAGATCGAGGAGGCCACCATGGAGTTCAGCGAGATCGCCATCATGCCGCAGGACTTGTTGGATGGATTGTTCGACGGCGATGAGGAAGACAAGTTTGCAAGCTTGAAATGTGTGGGATTGGGAAACCTTATATACGTGTTCAATGAGGAGTATCATAAGAAGTACCCGGCTTGTGTTTGCGAGATTGGTTCCGATGACAATGGCGGACCTTCGGGGAAGTGTAGCTGGAGGAGAATGCCCCAATTGCCTTCCCCTGTTAATAAATTCCATAAAGTCATCAGCTTTTCGTCGACAGTTTCCCCGCATAATATCCTTCGTGGCGAAGGGGAGGGCGAAGGAGACGGTGTTGTCAATGTGCAGCCTATGTTGGACTGATTTTGCGCTCCGCGGATTCATGGTATGGATTCATCAATTTTCTTAATTTGTTCTTCGTTGATATCATGTTAAGATTGATTGATTTTGCAATTGAAGTTTGGTGGGTTTGATTTTGTTAAGTAGGATTTAATTAGCTGTGACGTTTCTTGATTGAATTAACAAGGGGTTTTATGCCAAATTCAGTGTAGATCAGTAGGTGACATGTGTGAATATATCCTTAAAGATGCAAGTAAAATTACATAGAGAAACTCCCAAATCAGGGTACTTATTAAATTTATGTGACTAGTCCAGGCATGATCGATTAGTGTTAATTACCCGTTTTAAGTGGAAAACATGGTAGTCATTCCGTAATACGGTCTGGTGTATTTCTCTTCACTTGGAAGTGAGAGGTCTTAGGTTCGAATCTTGTTGAAGTTACTTTTGGTGATGGTAGAACATTACATGTTGGACATGTTCCTGAATGGTAGTGTGGGACAGTAAAGTTCAGAGGTTTAATGAGCTGAGATTTTCAAGTTTCTACCATATATGCTTCTTCTACTAACGTGGCAAGATTTATAAATCCAGTTTTCTCAAGTTTCTACCAGAAAAGTGTTGGTTTACATCTTAATTTTTGACATTTCTCTGCTCCATAAGATACATAAGTTTCGGTGATTGAATATCTACCAGTTTTCATCTTTATAAGGAATATAATCACCTTGTGGAGGTTTCCGCTCTTGAGTCTTGCATTGAATATCTACTCTATGCTCGCATTATGTGCCGTTGGATAAATTTGATTTTTGGGATTCTTGTTGAAAATCTATTCTCTCGTCGACGCATGATCACCTCCGAAAAAATTTTGAGGGGCATTGCCGCGTTGTGTTTGTGCATTCCATTTCCCTCATCAAGTGCATGTGCATTTACAACCGAGCAAAAAATAAATCCTGGTCTCCGAAGTCAGATCGAATGAGGCCTTGAATGGTTTACTAACATTTCATTGTCTGCATCATGTTTGACAGCAATGCGCATGACAGAGATGCAAGATCAAACACTTCGGTTAGGGAAAAAACATGTTTCAGTTGTGCAGATGATGCTCTAGTATCGTCTCGTTTCTTAATATTTAAGAATCTTCTACACAACAGACGGAGAAATTGAATAATAGAGGAGAACTGTCAACGTCCTCTGACGTTATCTACGCTCTCGTCTGGGTTATTGACAGCGTAGTTACTTGTATTGTTTGGTGTAATTTGTCAGAATTTGTAAGATATGTACTGTTAGCATTGTGGTGGTATATCCATTTCCAACGATGTGATGTAATTGTGTGTAAAACATTTTGGAAGTTGATAATCTTGGCTTCAATGAAATCTTTAATTTGTGTACTAAGGTGGAGCTTTCGAGCCAGCGAGAGGATTAGGTTTAGAATTTTATTTTTCTAATTTTTAAATAATTTAATAATATTAATTTTTTATCAAATATTTTTAGAATAAAATTTTATAGCTAGTTGTCCGGACAATTCATTTTACACAATGAAGTTGCACTTGGACAATTATTATTTATTAAGATAGTAATTGTTTTTACCCAATTGACGGGGCAATTATTACCTTAGTGAGGTGAAGGTGCTCTAAATGTTGGGTACTTATCTGCACTTAGCTTTTTTTTTTAATCAATTGTGCAGTGATACATGGAGGCAACGATAAGTCAAAACACGTAAGCTACCAAATTTCTCCAAACCCTGGACGTCAGTTTGTGAAGGAGTGTACTATTCACATACTATTTTTTACTTTTCAACCATCTTTGTTAATTTATGCCCTTTGATTTTCTTCAATTTATCCGATTCGTCGGTTGAAAATTAAAAAGATGTGTAAGAAATAAAAAATGGTGTGTGGAACTCTTTTGTGAAATATATGGGGTGAAATCCAATTGGGCCTGGGCTTTTGATTGGCCGGAAATGATTTTCACTAAATTTTCGCCCTTTTTTTGACAGCTTCTCATTCTCACTCTCCCTTCTCTCTCTCTCTCTCTCTTCAGTGTTCGGACTGTCTCGCTCCTCCTCTAGGGTTTTAGGGTTTTCTGTTTCTTCCAAATCCGAAAAATCCGAAACGCCATGGAAAAGTTTCAGAAGGTCGAGAAGCCGAGGCCCGAAGTGCCCATCAACGAGAACGAGATCCGAATCACCACCCAAGGCTCTATCAGAAACTACATCAGCTATGCCACCACTCTGCTTCAGGTTCGTCTTCTCTCTCTTCGATCATCTCTTATGTTCTCATTTTTTGTCGTTTTTTCTTCCATTGATTCATAATTTGGTTTTTTTTTTTTTTTTGGTTTCTGGGTGTTTTTGCATGTCTTTGCTTTTGTATTGGGTTTTGTCCGTTCGGTTTATTGGATTGTTTTTGCTTCAAATACTGATGGATTTCTGACCCATTTTGTTATATGTGGGTATTTTTTACGGGTGTTGGTTGTATGCTGGTGATAATATGCATTTGTGTTATGCTTTATGGATTTTTCTGGTTTTTGGTTATGTTTGAAACTTGAATCACATTCGTAGCTGTTGTTATTGTTTATATTGATGGTCTCGGATAAGTTTTTGATGTACATATACAGAAAGTACTTCGTGATTGTTAATTCGTGTTGGTGTTGGAGATGCTAGCTGGTAGGTCTGGACTGTAAAATTGGCCATTGGTGGTGTTAGTGAATTGGGAATGCCATTTATCAATTATTTACATCAGAATATGACTGTTGACCTCAGTGAGGAGGTGGTTAGTCTTAGTTTGCACGTTTGCGTTAAGAATTCAGTTTACCGAACATTTCATGTTGTATGTGGCTTTGCAAATCTATTTCTGTACTTGTTTACATCATATGCTATGTCATTTGATTATATAGACCAATTTAGGCCGAGAGTTCAATGACTGCTGGAGCTTTGAAAAGGGACGGTCAATGTTCCAAAAGTGGTTGCAAAGACAAAAGTGAACTCTTCAATCATGGTCTCTTCTTAATACCAATCCTTTCTCTCTAACAAGTGCACAAGGCCCTTTTTGGTGTGAATATTATTCCTTTTTGTGATGGATTCTCCACCTGGGAAGGGTTTCCTTTAGTGTACTTGGCAAAATCTATCAACAAGGCTGTCTACTGTTTTTAGTCACAGTAAGGGGTCAGCCTTTCTATGAGTGAATATATCTTTGATGCCTGACTCGAAACACATTGACATGATAAGAAATTGTTACAATAAAAGTGCGTGTTCCGTAAACTACTCAGATAGTTTTATTAATGATAGTTAATCTGAGGATGGACAAGAATTCATATCTATTTACGGAAGATCAGTTTTTCTTGAGCTTCTATTTACTATGTCTCTTTCTTATATCTGTTGTTCTTTTGCCTTTTTATGTTCTAGAATCCCAATGTTAACTTTATTTTCTCTCCCCGTCCTTTTTTCTTTTCTGTCAGCTGGTAATCTAAGATTAATGTTATAGGACAGTGCCATATATGGTACATAAGGGTGATTCATCCATCCGCGTGTCTGATTTTTTTTGGATATTTTAGGATAAGCGTGGAAAAGAAATTGTCTTGAAGGCAATGGGACAGGCAATTAACAAGACAGTTGCAATTGCTGAAATTATAAAGGTCACTATCTTGCTCTCTTTAACCACACACACCCCCCCCCCCGCCCCGCGCGCGCGTTTCCTCTTCTCTCTTCCCCCCCTCCTCTTTCTTCCTCTTTTTCTTAAAAAAAAAAAAAAAAAAAAAAAAACCCCTTTTCTTTCCATGCACGCACATTAATCAGCCATTGTTTTTGAAAACAGAAGAGAATTTCCTGGTTGCATCAGGATACCGCCATCAGCTCTGTAAGCATAACTGATGTGTTTGAACCAATGGAAGAAGGTCTTCTCCCGTAAGTGTTGTAAATTTTGTATGCATGAATATATTTATGGTGATCACTTCATTCAGTAAGGAAATGACTTATGACTTAAAACAGATTTTTTTGTGTATGCTCTGTTTGGTGTTTTTTTTCTTCTGCTTAATCAATAATGGGCATGTACCATAAACATATGTTGCAGTGTGGAAACGACTCGTCATGTCTCAATGATTTCAATCACATTATCAACAAAGGAGCTAAACACAAACTCTCCTGGGTATGTTCTAAAATATATTGGGGTCTTCACCAAGGTTGAATTTTTAGATTAAGTTTGATATTCTTCTGCGGTAAGCGCATAAAAGTATTGAGCTTATGGAAAGTGTTTCCTTTTCCTTTTCTGGTGCTTTTAACATTAATATTTTCTACATGATCCCTTTCCATAGGTATCAAGCCCCATATGCTGCGGATCAATCAAAGCCACAGCTGAATTACCAACAGCAGCAGCAACCAAAGCAAGCACGTGTTCCTTACAATGCTGTTAATGAAGGTGATGGTAAATGACAACGTATCAAGTAGCTTTTATTTTAAGCATGGTTTAATGTTTAAGTTTTAACATGCTTCCTTGATTTGGTTCTTAGATTCGTATGGCCGGGGACGGGGACGGGGACGTGGTAGAGGAAGAGGCCGGAATTGGGGCAGGGGAGGAGGTTATGGCAATTATCAAGGCGGATATGGGAACTATCAAGGTGGAAACCATCAAGGTGGATATGGGAACTATCAAGGTGGCTATAGAAACTATCAAGGTACAATAATGAAATGACATACTAGTCATTGGGGATTTAAGTACTCATATTATGGTTTTTTGAAGTGCCTATACTATATATGTTTTATATAATATAAATCTGCCCTTGACGTGGACTTCTTTTATGGTAGATAATGATGGCTATTCAAATCGGGGACAAGGTGGTGGACGTGGTAGAGGTTGGGGTAACCGTGGTAAGTTTATTTAACATCCTATACAAGGTCTATGCGATAATCAAACTTGTGGACGAGTCTAATGCATTCTTTTTAATAAGTACCTATACAAGGAAAATATCCTGAGCAGCACTGTGGGTTGGGGAATTAGGAGGGATTGTTTACTAAAGAGTTGGCCATATTTGAAGGGTTGGCATATTACACTATTTTGAGGAGTGTTGGATCATTATGTCTTTGCGTTTGCATTGTGTCCATATATTCAATAGTATCCCTATACCTCTCAGTCTGGTGGATGTACTTAACAGCTTAAGATGTGTACTTCAGATATCAATTTGTTCTTTCATAGATTTGTATGTGGTCATTGGTTCATAAGCAACGGACTAATTATTACAAGCATGTTATTTTTTTACAGGTGCTGGTTATGAAAGGAATGCTGGTGGCTATGAAAGGAATGGTGGTGACTATGAAAGGGGTGCTGGTGGCTATGAAAGGGGGTCTGGTGGAGGTTACGAAAGAGGTGGTGCTGGTGGGGGTTACGAAAGGGATGGTTCTGGTGGGGGTTACGAAAGGGTTGGTGCTGGTGGGGGTTATGAAAGAGGTGGTGCTGGTGGGGATTACGAAAGGGGTGGTGCTGGTGGGGGTTATGAAAGAGCTGGTGAAAGGGGTGGTGCTGGTGGGGGTTATGAAAGAGGTGGTGAAAGAGGTGGTGCTGGTGGGGGTTATGAGATAGACGGTGCTGGTGGAGGTTATGAGAGAGGCGATGCTGGCAGGTATCAGAGACGTGGTGCTGGTGGGTATGAGAGGCGCGGTGCTGGTGGGTATGAGAGAGGTGGTGCTCGCGGGTATGAGAGAGGCGGTGCTGGTGGATATGAGCGAGGTGCTGGTGGATACGAGCGAGGTGCTGGTGGTGGATACGTGAGAGGTGCTGGTGGATATGAACGAGGTGGCAGAGGTGGAGGGGGCAGAGGGTACAACCGGGGAAAAGGACGGACAGGTGAGCGCACAAGGGGTGGTGGAACTGGAAACCAAGCATAATTTAAAGTAGGTGATATTTTTTGCTTCAGCTACAATGCATGTGCCCTTTTGCCCGTGAGGGTGCGTTTTTATGAGTTTACTGTTTCAATGGCGTGAAATGTGGCCCTACGATATTTGGCGTTGTTTAAACAGTTTCTATGTTGATGTTTTCCTCCTGCGTTGCTTTATATTTTTGTGGATATGGGCAGCCCTGTTTTGGGTTTTGCATTTAGCATTTAGCATTTAGCGTTTAGCAGCCAAGTGAAAAAAAGGGGTCAGTTTTAGTATTGCTGTAATTCTTTTGACATTATTGTATCTAGTGCTTTCTTAAAATATAGCTTCATTTCTTTGAAACCAATGTTCTCTTCCTATTTACTCATTCGCTCCTTGCAACTCATTTCTCCTTCTCGACAAATCACAGTTCGAAATGTGTAAACACTTCTCCGATAAATTTTGTATTGAATGCTTCCTTAAGATTATTGCGATTTCCTGCAGTACCATAGAAAATATTCGATGATGAAATTTGCCGTCTTCCATGGGTTTAAGAACCCTTCAAAATTGCCTTTTGGAGTTTGGTTATTTGCCTTTGCAAACAAGTTTCTACGGACTTCCCAAATAGGTAAAACCTAGCTCGATAAGGTATTCATATTGACATGTTATCGTTCTATCTATACTATTGGTATTCCGATTACTTTCAAAGTTTCAATGTCGCATCTATATGCTTGTGAGTGGAAGTTTACATGGAAAGTAAGCTCCCACTGACAAACATATAGACACGATATTGACAATCCCAGTATCGACATCAACATTTATATGAAGGACAATTCTAATCAATACTGTGTGCATATATTTTGTTGATATTGATTGATCTGACCGGCTAATTGATCAAGCGATTTGACTCGAGTGTTTCACTCAACTATCAAAGTCTAATGAATAAATGGTATTTTAACCACATTGACTACGTACCTCTATCAGAAATGTGGTCAACATGTGCTCAATACAATGCAACGTTGATATGCCATGTGACACGTAGGTAAGATTAGGACCGACCTTGAGGGTAGCCGCAGTAGGCGGACCGCTTAGGACTCCCGGCCCTCAATTTTTATATATATATATATATAAATTAATATTACAAACTTTGTATCTGTTCAAATAAGATGTTTACGGATACAATCGCTTATTGAGCTGAGCAGTTGATGACACACCCCGACCGAGATCGGAGCGTGCTGGCCGTCACACAAAGGTGACGTAACCATGTGCACGTGCGGAAGCTAATAAGTAGTAATATAAAAGTACGAATAATTAAAAACTAGCATACAAGTACTAGAACAAGTGCTAGTTAGTGCGATACAAATTCAGAGCAGGTCTATAGCAGTCCAAATAAAACAACAACAGTAGTACGCCCGAAGGCGACCCTACAATGGGGAGTGTCTGTCAGAACGCCGAAAAGCTCTCAAGGGAAACCACCGCAACGGCTAAGCAACTAGAACCTGGAGGGGCGCAAAACAAAAGCGTGAGTGGGCAAAAACAAAGCTCTTTTAAAACCATTTAGCAAAATACAATCTAACCCCTCGCCGTAAAACCTGTATACTTCCCAGAAAATAAACATATATACGTATGTATAGATATGCCAATCATGCTCAGGGGTATATCATTCATGCTCAATATATGCCATGTCAAAATCTCATAATGATATGCAAGTGCTCAGGTATGAGTCATATCAATCACACAATCCTCTGGCAGCCGGAGTCACCTAACGTGACCTGTACGGCTGTATATAGAGCTCAAATCTCAACTCCACATCTAAACCTGCCCACGAGTCGGAACCACCTAAAGGGGTCTGTACGACAGGCCTGGGTGTAACACGTATATACGCTCTAGTGCTACGATCACGTGAGGGCTGTGCGAATAATCGCGGGTCACCTACGAGTCGGAACCACCTACTGTGGTCTGTACGACAAGCCTATGCACCTAGCTTGGATCCAAGCTGAGCGTATGGTGCGGGAGGTGAACAACACGTGAAGGACTGTGCCCTACTCTGGGCGGGAGCACTAACACCGGGGGTGCAGGTTATGAGCTCTCTAAGCATCTCTATCCACTATTTAATGCAATCGTTAATTAACGCTTACCTGGCACTTACCTATGCCTCCACAGCACCCACATATAAATATATATGACATATGCATATGCATATGTATGCCACAAATAATGCATGCAATGATGCATAAACGATAATAATAAAGTGCATGGCATAATGTAAATAACCCTTATTAATCAAATTCTGGGAATATAAATGTATATAGGTATATACGGAAAACAAAAGCCCACTCACTGGTATGTAGAAGGGTCGTAGCCCCCCTGTCTCGCATGTGCACGCTCGTCCTCTGGGTACGTGTCACCTAGATGCGAAACAACTATAAAAACGTTAACTTTAAAGCACATAACCCGTTTCTCGTAATAACTTCTCATACATTGCTCAAAATGGACAAATGAATATACCCACGTGCTCTACACAACCTCAGGGTCACAACCATATTTTTAGAAAAAAATTTTGGACCCCGCACGCGCCCCCACGCGCCAGCACAGGCACGGACCTACGCGCCCCCCACGCGCGGCCACGTGCCAGGCACACTGACGGTGTCAACAGACGCCGTCAGGAATATTCCGTTAAAACCCCGGAATATTCCGTTAAAACTAACTGGTTCCGTTAACGGCGTTAGGAATATTCCGTCGCCTTCTTCCTTCGATCGCCGGCAACGTCGCCGGCGCCGGAACCTGGGAAAACCTGCAACTCAGGTTTTCTCACTCATTTTTCAACCGTCTTTCGTGATTTTTGGACCAAATGAAAGCCCTAGACTAGTAGAACAAGTCCCAACAAGTTTTAAGGGCTAAAACTAAGAGATTATACCTGTGCAATTTCTCCAAAACCGGCCAACTTAGAACAGGACGATCCCGACATCCAATTTTGTCCAACGAAGCACTCCGAGGCTCCTTGGGACCTCACCAACACATCTACAAGCTCAGAAAACCCAAAAACTTAATGTACAAACTTTGCATGAACAGTACACAATTCGGACCACTTCGAAACGACGTGAAAACTAAATGTTTCTCACCTGAAATTGCTACGGTTGTGTTCCCCTCGACCTCACGAGCTTAAATATGTCCTTGGTTCCCTCGATCTGTTAGTGTTTAGGGTGGTTGTGGGTTTGTCCGTACGTTTTCGAAGAGGAGGAAAGGGAATGGGGCTCGGGGAACTCACAGAGAGAGAGAGACAGAGGGAGACAGTGAGACAGTGTGTGTGTGTGGCCCTCAGCTTGCCAACACCACACAAAACAACCAAAACCAAATAACGAAACGAACTAGGGGCTAAAATGTCATTTCACTAGTACGTTTTTAAAAATCCCGGGACGGGATGTCACAGTTGACCCTAGCATTTGTAAGATTAATTGTTTTATATAATCAATTAGATGGTTGTTGAGCCCAACATTTGTAAGACTTATTTCTAAAACCAAGAATCTTGAGAGAAACTTTACCGAAGAAAATAAATCAAGCAATAAAAGTGTTGAACTATTTGATATAAGTGGATGATTTTTCTCAAATGCATGAGTTTCTTACTGAATTTTGTTATTACAGTTGCCTATCTAGAAAGAAGTTTTTCAAAATTAAAGTTGATCAAATCTTATCTTCGATCAACTGTCATAAGAAATATTGAATGGGTTGGCTATTTTTTCAGTTGAAAAAGGATTTGTTGAAATATTAGATCATGTAAACTTACTTAGTATATTTGCATCTAAAAAATGCAAGACGTGTAATATTTAAGTAATGTTTGTATATTTTTTTTCTTTTGATATTATACTGTAATGATATTTGATGTAGAAATAAACTTTTTCATGTATTTAGCAAATTTTTTTTTATACATATCAATTTACAAGGGTTGAGGATCAGACAACTCTAGGATCCCATTTCAAAGGCTTGCCTAGGCCCCAAATTCTTAGGGTCAGCCCGAGCAATAAATTGCATTAAAATGCCACATCATCATGTCAGCCAGCAAGGACTACATTGCTATTGCATCATAAAAGTTGTTATCTTCATCCAATGTTTTAAATATCTATGAAACTGTTGATATTTTCGTCGAAATATCCGAAAAATCAAAGATCGATATGGAAAGAAGGGATGAACTGCAAACTTTACCCTATATCGGTGAGATATAGGAAAATCAATTTAATATCTATGATGTTTACTGATTCACTACAGAAAATTTGGCAGAATCCATTGTAGATCTTGAACTTTTTTATTTTTTTTGGGAAAATTTTCTCTAATTTTAACTAAATCTGAATAAGTTGATAAAGACACACCGTAGTATAAAATTCCATAATTTTTGTCGAATGCAAATATCAATTTCAATATTTCTATAAAATTGAATATAGATATTTCCACCTATATTGATATTTTAAACACTGTCTTTGCCACGTTGTGGAAGACCTTAAATCTCAAATTTTACTTTGTATTAAAAGAAAATAGTAAATTTAAAGAAAAAACACTTCGGTAATTATAAATTTTGTACAAAAGCGCTTGAATATTTAGTTTGAGGAAAAAAGGATGAAAAACGTATTCACTTACCATACTTTAAGTGATTTTAATTTCTTCTCTATCATCTTATTACGAAGTAATTTTAGTTTTTTTTATTCTTAAAAGAGGGTAAAATTAGAAAGTAATAAAATTAACACGGGAAAGATGATATTAAATAGTGTGAAAAATTAGAATAGTCACAAATTGGTAAAGAATTTACATAGCAAATATGCGTGTCATTACAACATTTCATGTTAATAGTACAATGTTATATATAATTTTTTTATCTCATATGTTACTGTATTATTAACTTAAAGCGACACGATCGACCGTGTCCATGCCATAAACGTTCTCTCCACAAATTGAAGTTTGAGAGCCAACTTGGATCTTTTTTTTTCTCATTTCTGACAATTGAAACAAGGTTTTAATCAATCATGTGTCTGTCGATAGAGATATATAGGGAAACAAACAAACACATGGTAGGACTGAATTTCCATAATTCAGACCTAATCTCTTCTCACATGCCACAATTTCTTCGAGCACTATTCATAAACGATTATACTATTCATTTTTGTCAACATTTTCTTTTAGCAGCTAAACTACCATACAGTTCATTTTTAGTGTAACTAGTTAATTTGCACCCAATTAAGAATCACAACCAAAAATTAACCATTTGCCCAACGAGAATCTGCCGGACGAATCAAGTTTTGTTAGGCAAAAGTAGTCAATGTTGTATTTTTTTTTCAAAGACTTTAGGCAGTGAAACATTTCGATGGGCAAAGTAAACGT